CGTGCGTGTGAGGAAGCTGCTCTGAATCCCCTTTGGGGTGAGAAGGACGGCATATAAATGTCGTAAATAAATAAATACGTTAAATCAGTTAATAACTATTTCATATCTTCCCCTTTCTGTTTTTGAACAGGCGTGAGTCCCTACTGGATTGGCGAAATCGATGGTCCGATGGCCAAAAAGTCAGCCTCCCGATACAGACAGTCCCATTCTCTTTACAGCAACAGGAAGTCACTCTCTCAGCAGCTGGACAGTTCAACAGGAAGAGCTCCTGTGAGTCCAAGACGAAAGGGAAACTCATCAGGTTGCAGCACCCCAAGGCAAAGCTAAATAAGGGGCAGCTGCAGTGTCGCTATGCAGGCAAAGCTCCCCCTCTCCATTGCACCTCCAAACCCATTACATGTAGTTTCCCTGTAATGAGGCAGATTGCATCCCAATATCCCAGTATTTCCTGTAGGATTTCCAGATAATAGGATATTAATTCTTATACTCTGTCCTGGGGAGGGATAGGTTAATTAGCAGCTCCGCAAGACAACATATCCAAGTTGGCTGCCCTTCTGTATCTCTCAATGGCAGACAGGTATACCTTGGTTAACAAAGTGAATGTGTTCCTGGGCATGGCTTCTTTACTGGAACTTGGAATAACATGGAAAGAATAGGCAGAGTAAGGACCCTGTAGCATACTTGCAGTCCTCTAGATATTGTGAAACTCCATCACCATTCCCCCCCAGTTAGCATAGCCAATAGTTAAGTTGTTGCTGTAGTTATGATACGAGGGTTGAATGAAAGGTAATGCCTCCACCTTTGTAACTCCTCAACAGGTGGCAGTACTGGCATGTGGCAGGTACTAGCTTGTTCAGTAGACTCTCCTTTACAGTTCCATTTTGGCAGGAAGCCTTAGCATTGAATGGTTGTGTTGTTAAAGTGGAAAGTATGGAACCCTGTGCAGACAATCGGTCAATGCGACTTAAGCCACGTGCAGTCATTGAATTCTTGACAGCAGAAGATGTC